AATTAAGACTTCCAGTGAGATGGATTCACACAGTGGCAGCAGCAATGGGCTCAAGCTTAATGACAATTGTTAGTATGGTGCAGGACCCAAGAGTGTTTCATTCTGGTGTTCATAGGGTCGTTATGAATTGGAACTGAATCAACAGCACCTAACAACAACAAAATAATAAAAAAATTATATCAATGATATCATTTTAAGTGGCAAACGTAGGCTATAAACATGCATTTCAGTATGCCAATAGTGTTTTCATCTATGAAGCAAAAATGCATGTTAGGTTGTCTATTCTTATTTTTTTATATTTTTTCAGCATTGAATATATGTGATTTAATAACTAGAAAAAAACAATGTTTTTATGTTAATTAATAAGTATTCTGATAGAAACATAGCCGACATAGATTTTGGTGGTGTTGGTGGTTGTGTGCTATATAGGATTTTTGAGGCTGTAAGTCTTTATGGGAACATAAAGAGCTCTCCTGCTGAGTGGCTGGGGGATTTGAATTTCTAACCTTGCAATTTGCAGCCCAACTCATAACCTATTATACTACCGTAGCTCCTTAAATAGATCACTGTCATTGTTGTTAAGTGCTGTGAAGTCAGTTCCAACTCATAACAACCCTGTGTAGGGTTTCTCAGGAGCAATTGGTTAATTTGACCCACCTACCAACAACCTTGTGGTTCAAATTGACCTTATGGTAGAGTGCTTGTCGTAAGGTGTCACACCAGGGTAGTTGTATAATATTCACCTTGCTAATAATTAAACATTTTCACAAGTTTCATTTAATTAGCTCCAGAAATTTAATTCTTCTAAAGTTAATGCAAGAATAGTATAGAATATGATTATTTCAAACTATTTCTTGTTTCAAAAACCCTTTCAACTCATTTTTATTTTTAACTATATGCTTTTGCTTATACAATATGGTGATGGATACCTAAGTAGTAGTCAGGTAAGGAAACCTGTTTTTCTTTAGAGAGTTAAAATAAACACACCAATAACTAGTTTAAAAATATTGTGTGTTAATTCTTTTTCCAAGTGTTAATTAATTAATAATACCAAAGCTACAAAGTTTGGTTTGTCATTCTCCTTATTTATTGTTATTGTTAAGTGATATCAAGTTGTTCTAACTTACAGTGACCCTGTCTAGAATTTCTGGTGGATTTGAACCTCCAACAACGTTGCAATTAGCAGTCCATTGTTTAGCCTACTGCACCACACCAGACCTAGATAATGAAAATCAGATAGAAATCTGTACATTTCAAAAAGGGCATGCATTACAATAAGAGTGATTTGCTAATGCTTAATTACTAAGATGTTACATTTCACAGAAACAAACCTTTGTTTTCTCAGGTCTGAAAACTACTGGAACTATCCTGAACCATTTTGTGAAGAAAGTTGCTGGTGTCATTGTTCTAACTCTTCTTTCTCTAAGCATATTTTCTTTAATTGGCATGGGGCTCTTTAGGGGCAACCTGAAACATAAATGTTTGTGGTGGCCTCAAGAAAATGAAAACGAAACACTGCACAACAGAACTGGAAGCCTATTTTCTACTCGAGGTAAGAGTAATTTTCCAACTATGTCAAAAAATTAAAAATATTTCTATTAGGCAGAGTGTTCTTGTAGAAATGTTGGACATGCAATTTCAGACCATACTATGTAAATGCCGTAACAATGCTCATGTCCTAATTTGCATCAGATTTAGGTACAAGGATTGCAAAATTATTATTCTAAAAACAGTGATATCAGGGGAACCTGAATTAGGAATTTCTAAATTTTGCATAATTTTATAATTTGAAAAATAAATAAATAAAGCCAAAGTCTTACTTGAAATTTCATCAGAGAGAGCTCAGGTAGCATCTTTAATCTAAAGTTGTCCATTTAAATTACTTGTTTTAAGCTTACTCATTTAAAATTTTAAGTGAAAATATCAAAAACCATCCCACAATTCTATAAATTCTTACTGTTAGATTTCAGTTACATTGACTCATTTGAAATACTTTGTATAATACTTTGTTAGACAACAGAAATAGTTTATATCAATACAAAGAATGCCTAGTAAGTATTCCTTAGTTCTTATACTTAAGTCATTTGTATGACTTGTGTCATGTCTTTGCCATAATCTGGAAGAAGAGAGGAAATGAACCCCTGTTACAAACAAGGAAGTAGAGGTTCAGAGATTAAACTACTTGGTGGTAAAACCAGGATACTAACCCAGTTCTATCTGGCTCTAAAATCTCATCACCATGCTATATGGATTTATTTGTTTTTAGATTAAGATCATCACATCCTTTCTGATCATTTTCAGAAGAAAAAGCTTATATTCCACAATGAAAAATTAAAATGTGATAATTATTAGATAGCGGTTCCACATTAATTTCATATATACATTTAATTTAATGTTATAAAACAAATCTTAAAATGTTTATGCTTGCATTTATCCCATAATATGATTATGAAACAGATAAAAGAAATATATTGATATATGAATATGTAAAATATGTCCTTGTCTGACTAGGTCATGGCCTTAAATCCATGTAAGGATTAAGGGAGATGGATGTTTACTCCTTTATTCCAATTAAATATGCTGGCTCCATTCTAATTACTCTAAAAGTAAATAGTTTGTTAATTCCTTGCTTATTTGTTAAGAAAATAGGTCCTTTTTCTGAATCTTTGTATAAGTATAGTATTGTGTTCAAAGAAATCACGTTTTTAAAGTTAACACATTAAATTTGTCCAATTCAAGTCCATTTTCTCAAAAGAAAGCTAGTTGATGAACACATTATGTTTGAAAACCATTACTAACTTAAATTGTTGTTGTTAAGTGCTGTCAAGTTGGTTCTGGCCCACAGCAACCCTGTATAGGGTTTCCAAGGAGTGGCTGGTGACTAGTGTCAATTTCAATTTGTTTTTTTGGCCGTTATTGCAAAAGCTTGAACAATGGTATCAAAATAATTATGACCTCTAAAAATTCTTCCAAAAGTATCTTGTGAAAAATTAAGGTGACATTATTTAAGTTTGGAGTATTAAAATTTGAACATTTTTATATATGACTGAAGGAGCTCTGGTAGCATAGTGGTTGTGATTTGGGTTGCTAATCTCAAGGTCAGCAGTTGGAAACTTCCAGCAGTTCTGTGGGAGAAAGATGAGGCTTTCTGCACCCATAAAGATTTACAGCCTTGGAAACCTTATACAAGATTGCTATGAGTCGGAACCGACTTTAAGATACAGTACCACCACTGCCATAAGCCACTGAGACTGATCTCTTATGAGTTTGCTCTCCATTATTTGAGTTCAGAACCTGAAAAACCAATGTTCCTAACTATGCTGATGGATCTTGGCTGAAAGCATAGAATACTAGAAAGATGTTTACTTGTGCTTTATTGACTATGCAAAGGCATTCAACTGTGTGGATCATAACAAAGTATGGATAACACTGGAAAGAGTGGGTGTTCCAGAACACTTAATTGTTCTCATGAGGAACCTGTATATAGACCAACAGGCAGTTTTGCAGACAGAAGGAGACACTGAATGGTTTAAAATTAAGAAAGATATGTGCCAGAGTTATATTCTTTCACCACACTTATTCAGTCTGTATGCTGAGTGCACAACCCAAGAGGTTGTATTATATGAAGAAGGACATCATGATAAATGAAGAAAAAAATTGAAGTTGTCAAATACTTTATTTTGCTTGAATTGACAATCAACACTTATGGAAACAGCAGTCAAGAAATCAAATGATGTATTGCATGATGCAAATCTGCTGCATAAAATCTGTTTAAAGTGTTTAAGAGCAAAGATTCTAGTTTGAGGACTAAGTTGTACCTGACCCAAGCCATGGTATTTCCAATAGTTTCATATGCATGTGAAAGTTGGACAGTGAATAAGGAAGACCATAGAAGAATTGATGCATTTGAGTTATGGTGCCATGGATTTCCAGAAGAACAAACAAATCTATGTTGGAATAAGTACAGCCAGAATGTTCCCTAGAAGTAAGGATGGTGACACTTCATCCCTCAGACTTTGGACATGTTATTAGGAGGGATGTCCATGTCCCTGGAGCTCTGGTAGCATAGTGATTATGAGTCGGGCTGCCAACCTCAAGGTCAGCAGTGAGAAACTACCAGCTGTTCTGTGGGAGAAAGATGAGGTGTTCTGTTCCGGTAAAGATTTACAGCCTCGGAAACTCTGTGCAGGGTCACTATGAGTCGGAACTGATTCCATGGTACTTACCAACAACAAGTCCCTGGAGCCGGACATCACTCTTGGTAAAGTGGAGGGTCAGTGAAAAAGAATAAGACCCTCTATGAGGCGGATTGTGATAGTAGCAGCAGCAATGGACTCAAGTGTCAACAACTGTGAGGATGGTGCAGGACTGGGCAGTGTTTCCTTCATTTGTGCGTAGGGTCACTCTGTTGTGCTTAGGGTGGCTAGGAATTGGAACTGGCTTGTCAGCACCTAACAACAACCATGATAACACATTATATATATATAATACGTGGCAAATTCAATGAGCTATGATTTAGAAGCCAAGATGGTGAGACTTCATTTCTCACACTTTGGACATATTCTCAGGAGGACCAAGTTCCTGGAGAAGGACATCACACTTAGAAAAGCAGAGGGTTAGTGAGACAGAAGAAGAGACATAATGACATAGATTGTCACCGTGGCAGTAGCATCGGACTCAAATGCAATGACCATTGTGAGAATGATGCAGGACCAGGCAGCATGTCGTTCTGTTGTTCATAGGGTCACTGTGAGTCAGAACTGACTTGATGGCACCTAACAACAACAATGACAACAATTTCAGTTAGTTTGGGTTGCTTTCAAATTAGGTGACCCTAGGGCAAGCAACTGGCATTGGCTGTTCCCAGTAGAAGAATGAGCTTCTAGCAGAAGAATGGGAATTAAACCAAGGGGCAAAGGAATTTGTTCTCTTGCTTACATAAAGAGCATCAGGAATAAATCTGGGAGTGTGGTGGGGGGAATGTCTTTGAGTTTCAAACAGTTTTAGTCTTAGGAATTTTTCTTCCAGAAATTCTGGTCATACCAGGCTAGTTTTATTCACTTTTCTGAACCTTAATTTTAAGAGACATTATCCTTTTTCTTCTGAGCATTATCAATTTTGAGACACTAAAGCATCTAGATTTTGGTAGGTAATTTGGCCTGACCATCAGATGCTAGCAAAGCCTTCTAGTTAAGAACAGCCAAGATTTATGTTCCTTTCATCTTATCTGTTGAGAAGGATGTGTATCTTCAGTGCTAATGTAAATGAACTCTAGATCTTCTGCCTTAACTCTACAATTGATATAGAATATCATACTTTTTTTGTTTTTCAGATGTGGAAAACTTTTATTATTTGGAAGGAGAAAGAGACGCTCTCCTTTGTGGTAACAGAACAGATGCTAGGTAAGTAGTGTTCATGTTTTCTTCATTAAGGAAGCTCTGGTAGCGTAGTGGTTACGAATCGTGCTGCGAACCTTAAGGTCAGCGGTTCGGAACAACCAGATGCTCCGCGGGAGAAAGATCAGGCTTTCTACTCCCGTAAAGATTTACACCCTCGGAAACCCTGTACAGGGTCGCTATGGGTCAGAACCGACTCGACGGCACTTAACAACAACAACAACAACAAGACAGTGTTAGCAGTCAATAAGAATTTACTGAATGACTTGCTTTTAATGATGACTCACATTATCTCATTTGATCATCAACTTTACAGAAAAATCAGTAGGCAGATAAGTTAAATCATTTATGCAAGGTCAAAAAGGTAGCAAATGACAAAATTGGAACTTACATAAGAATCTTCTAACTGTTCTCATTTTACCCAGAGCCAGTGGGAATTGCCCAGAGAGACAATGTAAATCTGCCATTTAGCCAGAAACTCTTGAAGACAAATAATATCAAAGATATGTTATATTTCACTTAATTTTATGTCTTGTATCCCTTTTATGACTAATTGGCAATAGTATAATACTTAATGTTCTTAAAACAGTATGCATAAATAATTCTTTAGTGAGTTGGCTCATGTTTTCATCAAAAAGAGATGAAATAGAAATTGAGTGCTTCTCTTCAATGCTGTGACTCATAATTCCCTAATCTTTCCTCTTTCTTCAGTCAGGGTACCTTGTCACCCATATATAGGCTGTCTCTTTCTAAGGCTCTGGGGCCTAGCTTAACAAAAGCAATATGAGGCAGAGGACCATGAGTAATTTGTTGTTGTTACATGCTGTTGAGTCGGTTCCAACTCCTGGCAACTCTTTATAATGTAAGAAGCAGCTGGTGGGTTTGAACTGCCGACCTTGTGGTTTGCAGTCCAGTGCCACACCCAGAATCCAGTTAAATATTCAGGTGATTTAGATTTTTTGTTGCCTGTTGTATAGTTTCATTGCATCAGAACCAACTCAACAACAATAGATTTGGTTTCGGGTTGCTTGTTTAGTCTTGGTTTTTTGCTCAGCAACTGCTAGCTTTCTCCATTCAGTTCTCAAGTCCAAAACCCATCACATGTATCCACCCCATCCTATTTCAGCTAGCTTTTTAATATATATTGCAAACTCAAATATTACCTGAAATGTGTGCTAAAGCTGATAATCTAGCCTTGGATAGTCATGAACACAGTGATGCCATTTCTAGGCAAAAGAGAAAGCAATGCAGTATGGTAATAGGTGTCCATTACTAATGGTAAACTACCCCAAAAGCCAGTGTCTTAAAACAACATTAAATGTGTTTGCTCATAAATTTGGAAGTTGGCAATTTAGGAAAAGTTCAACTGAGCTATTCTTTTGGGGTTACGACTCAGAATCACTCATGTAGCTTCAGTCATTTGGCAGCTGGACAGAAACTGGATTATCTATGGTGTCCTCATAAGCTTCTGGGAGTCTTAGCTGGAATGGCTAGGTACTGGGATGGTTGGGCTTCTTCTTATGATCTTATTTTCCAGAAACTTCTCTCTACATTTAAGCTAGGCTTTTTTTTGTGTGTGTGTGTGCATAATAATTTCAGGACATAAAGCTCCAGTGCACAAATTATTTTTAAACCCTTTGCTTGTATCATATTTATTAATGTCTTATTAACAATTGTCCAAAATAAGTCCCATGGCTAAATCCAGAATAATGTAGACAGGCATTACATACACCTGGTGTGGTAGGAGTCTGTAGGTACTACAGGATAAGCACTGGACCACAAGATTGCTTGAACTGCAAGGTTGGTGGTTTGAACTCACAGCTGCTCATTGGAAACCCTATACAGGGTTACTATGAGTTGGGATCAACTTATTGGTACTTAATAACAACATAGAGAAGCATGATTTATTGAGCCACTTCTATAATAATGCAATGTATCTTGCAAACTCCCCAGTAGATATACATATCAAGACTCCTTGAAGAGAAATGAAGTAAACATTTAATCTGATTCTTATGCAAGAGTTATTTGTTGTTGTTTCGTGCCATCCAGTCAGTTCCAACTCATAGCAACTCTGTTTGAACCATCGACCTGCAGTTCAAACCAAACTTATGAGCCATTGCTTGTCATACTGAGCCAGTATTCTTTATAAATTACTGACATGTTCAATGTTTTCTCATCCTTGAATAATGTGGCCTAAGAATGAGGTAAGATTACTTGTGAATTAAATCCTAAACGATTGCAGTTTTGTTTTTATTAATGTGACTTTCCATTAATTTATTTTCATTAGGCTGTTCAAGTAACTTCACTTTGATAACACCCAAACCCATTATCATTCAATTGATTTCAACTCAAATTGACCCAGTACAGATTTCTGGGACTCTAAATCTTTCAGGAACAGACAGCCTCATCTTTCTCCCACTCCACTTTGACCTGGAGCAGTAAATATATCATTCACAATGGTCTGGTCAACACCATTGTGAGCCATTTTTTTTTTTTTTTTTCAATGTTACACAGTTCACTTACATTGACTCAGGATTTAGCTCACTTGCAGTTATTTAGTTGGGAATTGTTTTGGAAGAAACTAATTACTCCCTGTAAAAGAGTGAACCTGTATTATTCATATCCTGATGTTCTATGTTTATGATTTGCCCATAATCTGAAAATAGCTTGACAATAACCACTTTTTCTTTTCTTTGCCTTCTTTAGTCAGTGTCCTGAAGGTTATGTGTGTATAAAAGCTGGCACAAACCCTGATTATGGCTACACAAATTTTGACAACTTTGGCTGGGCCTTATTTGCTCTGTTTCGATTAATGACCCAGGACTATCCTGAAGCACTTTATCACCAGGTAAGAAGTGAGAAAATCTGCATTGCACTTGAAAAAGGTGATCTGCCTCTCACTTAAAAAATAATGGCCAACATAGCTTCTTAAATTTTTACGTAGAGAGTTTAAAAGTAGAAGAAAAGAGACTCAGAATTATTGAGTGTCAAAGTATGTACTTGAAACTCTGCATCAGTCAGTCTTCTTAATTGTTGTTGTTAGGTGCCATGGAGTCAGTACCGACTCATAGTAACTAACCCTAGGCACAAAAGAACGAAACACTGCCCAATCCTGGACCAACTTCACAATTGTTGCCACGTTTGAGCCAATGATGCTGCCACTTGGCCAATCCATCTCGTTTGAGGTCTTCCTCTTTTTCTCTGAACCTCCACCTTACTAAACATGATACTCTTCTCCAGAGACTGGTCCCTCCTGATAATAGGCCCAAAGTTTGAGAGACAAAATTTGGCCATCCTGGCCTCCAAGGAGCACTATGGCTGCACTTCTTCTAAAATGGATCTATTGGTTCTTTTGGCAACCCATGACACTTTCTATATTCTCCTCCAACACCATAACTCAAAAGCATCAATTCTTCTATAGTCTTCCTTATTCACTGTCCAGCTTTCACAAGCATATGAGGTTATTGAAAATACCATGGTTTGGGTCAGGCACACCTTAGTCCTCAAGCTGACATCTTTGCTATTCAATACTTTCAAAAGGTCTTGTGCAACAGATTTGCCCAATGCTATATGTCATTTGATTTCTTGACTGCTGCTTCCATGAGTGTTGATGGTTGATCCAAGAAGAATGAAGTCCTTGACAATTTCAATTTTTTCTCCGTTGATAAGAATGTTGTTTATTGGTCAAGTAGTGAGGATTTTTGTTTTCTTTACATTGAGATGCAATCCATACTGAAGGCTGTGCTCTTTGATCTTCATCAGCAAATATTTTAAGTCTTCTTCACTTTCAGCAAGCAAGATTGTATCATCTGCATATCACAGGTTGTTAATGAGTCTTCCTTCAATTCTGATGCCACGTTTTTCTTCATATAACCCAGCTTCTCGGATTATTTGCTCAGCATCTCTGACTTGATCAAATTTCATATATTTATTCTATATAATAGGAATTAACATTCCAAATACAAACTTTTTAAATGGAAATATGGCAATTTTTTATTCAAAATGTTTTCTTTAATAATGAAGACACAAGAGTTAAATTCTCATCCTAAGTATTTGGACAACATTGCAGAAAATGAGTACTCTGGAACACTTAATTGTACTTATGAAGAACCTGTACATAGAACTAAGAGGCAGTTGTTCAAACAGAACAAGGATACACTGAATGTTTTAAAATTAGGAAAGGTATGTGCCAGGGTTATATTTTTAAACCATACTTATTTATTCCGTTCTGTATGCTGAGCAGATAATCCTAGAAGATAGATTACATGAAGAAAAACATGTCATCAGGAATGGAGGAAGACTCATTAACAACCTGCAATGAGCAGATTATAGAGTCTTGTTTGCTGAAAGAAAAGAGTACTCAAAATACTTACTAATGATTATCAAAGACCACAGTCTTTGGTATGGCTTGGAATGTAAAGAAAACAAAAATCCTCATAGCATCTATATAAATGGAGATAAGATTAAAGTTGCCAAAGACTTCATTTTGCTCAGATCAACCTTCAACATTCATGGAAGCAGCAGTCAAGAAATCAAATTACATGTTGCATTAAGTAAATCTGCTGCACAAGACATCTTTAAAGTGTCCAAGAGCATAGGTCTCAGTCTGAGGACTAAGGTGTGCCTGACCCAAGCCATGGTATTTTCAGTAACCTCATATGCATGCAAAAGTAGGACAATGACAAAGGAAGACCATAGAATAACTGTTGCATTTGAGTTACGGTATTGGAGGAGAATATTAAAAGTACCATGGACTACCAAAAGAACAAACCAATCTGTGTTGGAAGTACAACCAGAATGATCCTTGGAATCCAGGATGGTTTCTCATACTTCGGGCATATTATCAGGAGGGACCAGTCCCTGGAGAAGGGTATTATGTTAGGTAAAGTGGAGGGTCAGATAAATAGAGGAAGACCTCCCAACTAGATGGATTGGTACAATGGCAGTTCAAAAGTAGCAATGTGATTATGAGGTTGGTGCTGGACTGGTTCTGTTGTGCATAAGGTTGCTGTGAGTTGGTACTGATTCCATGGCACCTATCAACAAAAACAGCAACAACAAAGTAAATTCTAGTCTTTCATTGTGTACTTTATATGTCTGTCCAAATTTGTAGAGCTTTTAACTTATTTCCTCAGGTAAATCCAGTGTTTCTATTGTCTTGTGATTACCTTCCACTTAAGACTAAATTACTTTCTGAACAAAATTGCCTTTATCATTTTAGAAGAAGAGAACCCAGGGAGACAGATAATACTTTCCTCCTTTTTTGTGCTCTTTTCTACCTTTCATTAGATCCTTTATGCTTCTGGGAAGGTCTACATGATATTTTTTGTCGTGGTAAGTTTTTGGTTTGCTTTTTATATGGCGAGTTTGTTCTTGAGCATTCTCACTATGGCCTATGAAGAAGAAAAGCAGACAAATGCTGGAAAAGCTAAGAAGTTTGGAGTCAACTATCAACAAACTTTAAACGAACTTCAAGAGGGAAAAGAAACAGCTGAGGTATAGCAATTTTTTATGCTTTTTCAAATCACAGAAATGTATTTTTAATGTATTAAAGTATACTGCCTTCTGCCAGATGCTCAATATTTATGTGTGGCACATGATTGGAAGATCACAATTGATTTCTTAAAGAGGTGTCCCTTTTCCATATAACATTGTTTCCTTAATGCACTTTGATGAAAGGAAGCAACATCTTTTTAACATTGTTTTAATATGTATCTAATTTTTTTTTATTCCCAAAAGTGTGAATTACTACTGATAAAAAAAAAATTATGAATATATTCTGGTTTTGCTATTAAAGTAAATTGGCTTCATAGAATTATCATATCAAATTGTAAAAAGAAAAAAATTGAATTTATTGACTCTAGTTCTTTCATACAGGAAATGAATTGCACATCATGATGTAATTGTGAGAAATAGCTTTAGAAATGTAATTGTTGTTTCTAAGTGCTGCTACGTAGTTCTGACTCATAGTGACCCTGTATAGGGTTTCCAAAGAGCGTCCAGTGGGTTTGAACTGCTGACCTTGCAATTAGCAGTCCAGTAGTTACTGTAATTTTCAAATACTTTGGTACTATACTTGAGTGTATTTTCAAAAATTTAGTTTCTTAGTGAAAGATTTAGTATATAAACCTAAAAGTATTGTCAAAATTACCACAAAAGAAGTTTTGGGACATTGTCTTTAAAAATCTTAATTGTGCTACAAGTATGCTGAAAGGAAGAAGAATGCTGAGGAAAACAACCAGAAGTAGCTTTTATATGTCTATGGGATCTTGTAAACTCACACCTCTGCCTAAAACAGCCTGTTCTGGTAAACAGAAAAAGGATCAAATTTGAGACAGAGGACAAAAGATATTAGATAACAGCAACAACAATAAAAGTACACTGTCTTTCTGTCAGTTTTGACATCTGACAACCTCATATGTTGCAGAGTAGAACCTCTCCATGCTTTCCTCTGTGGTACCGCAGCGTGCCTTCAAACCACCAACCTTCAGTAGTTGAGTACAAAGAATTTACTCCAAATCCCAAAGATCTTGAAAAACAAATCAGTTTTTAACTCAGGAACCTCACATAAAAAGAGGATTATTATTATTATTATTATTATTATTATTATTATCCTCTTTTTTATGTGAGAGTCCTGAGTAATAGCCTGAGCAAATCATTTACTCCAAGATCCCTAGAACTTTAACAAAGAATGTATCAGATTTTATTCAGGACCCTTACATAATAAGAGGCTAGAAAGAGATAAGATAAAGTAAAGGGTCAAGAACACTCAAAGCGTGTAGAAAGGCTGGCTAAGGATTTCAGTAATATCAAAGGTCTTGTCTGGGTCAAAAAGGGGAAATTTTTAACTTCCTTATATATCCATTCCATATCGGTAAAGTAACTATAGAAAAATCACTCTAGATTTAGGATCTGAATGAAATGCTGTAAGATGATACAAAATGACAATATTTTGATAGATATTTGTGTCTACTAGGTCCATAACATGCATGCCAATGAAATAAAAAATAATTATGGATTGAACAAAGAAAAAAATCAGTCAAAAATGGTCTAGTGAGTATAGTCATTATATCACCCCTGAATAAATTATGGAAAACCAAATTACAAAAGCTTTCTGTCTCTAGCAATGAGTCTGGGGTCCTTCAGATTGAGTGACTAGGGTCTGAATGATGTGTTGAATATGTAATTTGTTCTGAAGTGACATTTCAGAATTTCAAGGGCTTACAACTACACACAAATGTATCCAAGAGGACAACAATACTTCTATTATCCTAACATGAGATACCCTATTAACTCTGCTTTTAAAGAACTTGGGTTATTTCCCAATTTCCAAATATTTCCATTCATTTTGTTCCTTCTGAATCACATACTGCTTTTCTGATTTTAATTAAAATATTTCAATTATGAAGGAATTTTTTTCTCTCTTGGAAGAGTTCTATAACATTTTGTGATGCAGAAGTTTCTTGGGAAATGAAATTTCAAACCATTTTCACAAGAGTTATCTAATTTTCTTTTATTATTTATATGTAAGAAACCACTTACGAGAGAGAGGAGAGGAGAATGTAAAATCGAATCTACTTAGGACTTTAGGTGACTGATCTAAGACTAGTAAGATTCCAATTCCATGCAGGAGAATTGCTTAGATGTAATATTATAGGGAAGCTGTAGATCATATTGGCTAGAAGAACAGCTTTTCCATAAAATAAATATAAATTTACTTTAGCCATTTACTAAATGTAAGGTACTTGCCACGTCCCTTGAACTGTTTAAACTCAGGTTCCTCATCTGTAAAATTTATGTAACTATAGTGCCTGACCCATAGTTTGTTGTGAGGTTCTAATGAAATACATGCATGTAAAGCTTTTAGCGTGATGCTTGAGTCTATTAAGCAGAAAAAAAAAAAAAAGTTACAAAGAACTATTGGTAGAGTTATCATAAAATGCCAATGTTGTATGTCATGTTAATGATATCTATTACCCAAACTATCATCTGTAGAAACCTACATTGAGAACACTTGATCTTTACAGAACAACAGTAGTTGTCTTTGAATAAACTCCCATTTTAGAAATAAAGTATTTCATCATGATAAAATATCATTATTATGTAACATTTCCTGATCATTTGCTGTGTGCCAGACTCACTGCTAAATGCTTTACATCTAATATCATAATCACTTCTGGTGATGTAGGAATTGTTCCAGCATCGCATATGAGAAAACAGAAGTGTAGACTTCAAAGTAGCAGAGGTAGAGTTGACCTTAATAAAAAGCAAGCAACTTTATTGTCATCCAGTCCATGCCAACTCATAGTGATCCTACAGAAAAAAGTAGAACTGCTCTATCATGTTTCCAAGGCTTTACTCTTTAAAGAAGCAGGCGCAACTCTTTCATAGTACTGCTGATTCGTTTGAACCACTGACCTTGTGGTTAGCAACTGAGAACTTAACCACTGTGTCCCCAGGGCTCAGCTTTACTATTAAAACTAGTATGAGAAATGTTTGTAGTTGTATTTGTCCCATAGAATCTGAATTCTCATAGTGATTCTTCATACAATAATTCACATAATAATAAAGATTAAGGCACCCTAGTGTTAACTGAAAGGTTAGCAGGTGGAATCCATCAGCCACTCCACAGGAGAGAGATGTGGAAATCTGTTTCCATAAAGAGTTACACCTTGGCAACCCTGTGGAGTATATCTACTTTGTCCCCATAGGGTTGCTATGAGTCAGGATTGACTCAATGGCAGGAGGTATAATGAAGATTATGACGAGTCAGTCTTAAATTACAGGCAACACAAGAAGGCAGAGTAGTCCATATGCCCATTACTCTATTAGAGTAAAATGCTTCAATATTTGACTCTATCCGAATCGGGCTACGAACCTCAAGGTCAGCAGTTGGAAACTACCAGCTATTCCACGGGAGAAACATGAGGCTTTCTGCTCCCGTAAAGATTTACAGCCTCGGAAACCCTGTACAGGGTCACTATGAGTCAGAACCGATTCCATGGCACATAACAAAAACAACTTCCCCATTTTAGAGTTAATTAAATATAATGGCATATAGAAATTATTGAATATCAACCATGCTAGGCATATAATCTACTAGGCATTGTGTAAACTATGTTTGTTGTTGTTAAGTGCTGTGGAGGTGGCTCCAACTCATAGCAACCCTGTATAGGGTTTCTGAGGAGCGGCTGGTGAGTTTGAACTACTGACCTTGTGGTTCAAGCCAACCTTGCAGTCCATTGCTTATTGTACAGTGCCATACCAGGACTCCGCGCTAAGCTATAGAGATCTAATTTTTTCAATTAAATACACATAATGTGTTTATCTTCATAAAACTAATGGTCTAATGGGGATTGTTTGTTGTTGTTGTTGTTAGGGCCTTCAGTTGGTTCCAACTCATAGTGACCCTGCACAGGGTTTCGAGGAGCAGCTGGTGGGTTTGAACTGCTGACCTTGTGGATTACAATCCAGTGCTAATTCTACAGCACTACACCATTATTAAATTATCACGAACAAAAAATTGTAACTCTGGGTACCAGAAAATATGTGCTTACTCATGTTGTGAGTAGAAAACACAACACACCACTTAAGTATTTTTGCCTAAATTTGAAACTAATTCAAATAAGCCTCTGGCTCTGATTACTATTTTTTCAGCGACCTTAGGAGAGAGAACATGTTAAACTACACTAAAAGAACACAGCTAGCCAAAATCTGGTACTATACTCATACTATACTGTATAAGTTGTCCTGATGTGGCACTATAAGATAAGCACTGGACTGCTAATTGCTAAGTTGGTGGTTCGAATCCACCAGCTGCTTCTCAGAAACCCTATACAGGGCTACTACATGTCAGAACCAACTCAATGGTACTTAACAACAACAACATACTGTATAAAGGAGCCCTGATGGCACTGTGGGATAAGCATTGGACTGCTAAGTCACAAGGTTGCCAGTTCAAACCCTCCAGCTGCTTCATGGGAGAAAGATAAATCTGTCTGCTCCCATAAAGACTGACAATCTTGGACCTTATTCCTATGAATCAGAATCTACACAATGGCAATGAGTTAGGTGGTTTGAGTTTGTTGTTGTTAAGTGCTGTCGAGTTGAGTCCGATCCATAGCGACCCTGTATAGGGTTTCCAAGGAGCGGCTGGTGGGTTTGATCTGTGGTTCAAACTGACCTTGTGGTCCAGTGCATTATCCTGCAGTGCAACACCAAGACTAGTGTGAGTTTACACTAGGAAATTCCACTATATGACTCAGTATCTTTACAGATAAATGGCATATGGAAAAATAAATTAAATTACAAAATAATGAAAAGACCTGTATTTTTATTTAAATAATCAGCCATAAAAATATTTTTGAGCAAAGAGAGAGAGTCAAGCATGGTCAAGGTATTGAATGATATTAAGGAATCACTAATTTTGTTGATTTTAATAATGGTAATATAATTTTTAAAACAAAAAAAAACCTTTGCCTGAAAATTATGTGATGCCTGAAATTTACTTTAAAATATTTCACAATAAAAGTAGGAATGAGGAATAGGTGAAATGAGAGAAAAATAATGCTATGAGTATTTGTTAAAACTCGAGGTTGGTTATCTGATGATTTATCCTATATATACATATGGAATCCTGGTGTGGTGTAGTAGGAAAAACACAGGACCACAAGTTTGGTTTGAACCATAAGGTTGGTAGTTCAAACTTACCAGTCACTCCTCCGAAATCTTCTACAGGTCACTCTTTGAGTCAGAACTGACTCGACAACACTTACCAACAGCTATATCTATATCTGTGTGTGTGTGTGTGTGTGTGTGTGTGTGTGTGTGTGTGTGTGAGAAACTGTGACAAGTGTTACAGAGGAAAGGTACATGGTACCATGAGCACCTATGGTAGAAGTTTCTTTGAGTCCCAAAAGGTTGTTTGTTCTAAGGAACTGACACCTGAGCTGAGCTGAGGTGTGACTGAATCTTTGCCAACTAGAGGGAGCAGGACAAGTCAAAGGAACAGAAAGGCCACTGTAGCTACTGACTAGAGAGCACTTCTGAGCCCACGATGAACCCTCCATGTATTCTTAGCTAAATGCTAGAAATAACAATAAATTCTCCCTTAATCGTATCTCTCTTCCAGAAAAATTCGAAACAGAAACAGTTTCTGTTTTTAATTCAGAAGTCTGTTTGCTACCTGATATTGCCAAACAATGCTAGACTATACAATGCCAAATATGGATAATATTACTATATCTCCAAGCTTTTACTCCTTTTGCAATTGACCTTGTTGTATAAGATGATTTTGTTGAGCTGTAATTTATACATGTTTAGTTGTGAAATAATCCTAAATCAGCTTAATTCTGCATATGGTGTAAATGGTGGCAAGCGATGGAACCCAGAAAGATGTCTGCAATAATAATTAAAAGTTTTCACTAGGTTATATAACTTTTGATCTATGTATACAAAAGAGAAACCCAATATTATTGGTGCTAAGTCAATTCCAATTCATGGTGATTTTACAGGACAGAGTAGATCAGCCCCATATGATTTCCAAGGTTGGCAGTTCAAGCTCGCTAGCTACTCCTCAGAAACACTATACGGGATCGCTATGGGTCGGAATTGACTTGACGGCACTTACTATCCAGCTCTTGTACTTAACAACAACAACATATTTCTCCTATGTATTTATTAGTTGGTGGGTTTGAACCACTGATCTTTTGGTAAGCAGCCAACCCCCTTAAGCCAATATTAGACCACCAGTTCTCTCTAAGCTAGCATTAGTCTCATCAAATTTCTTTCCAGACCAAGACTACACAAATAGAAATGAAGAACAGACCATCAACTTCCACGAGCACAACTGTGGATATATTAGATGATGCTGCTCTCAGACATAAAGAAGGTAAATCCAAAAATATTTAGACACTATTATTATTAATAAGAGTATTACCATTAATAAGATTATTATCATTATCATTAATAAGATTCCATTTTAAGTAGTAACATGAGAATACAGGAAGAACAATACATAAGTATTTCATAAGTATAATTTTGTAAATATTGGAAAGGGTTACCAAAATTGGCCAATAAATAGTCTTTGTTTAAAATTAAAACTAAAACTAATGTAAGTATAACTTGTTGCAAAGAGAGTTGGAGTATATAGCATTAATATCTCAAGATCCTTTCTAAGCTTGTCTGTGCCTTATTAGAAAAAGCCAGCATATTTTTATCATTGAAATTATTGAAAGATTATTTTTTTAAGTTTATCAATCTTGAAATAATAAATAATCACATTTATAATTACACTTCATATTTGCTTTTCTTCCAACTCACAGTTTGCCTCAAGAAGCATGAATGAAATAGAGGGAATGTATTTAGCTATATTTTTTTATTATTATAGCATTTTTCAACTTGCTAATTCCAAATCAAAAGCCCAGTATCAAATTTTCCTTACATCCAAAACAACAAATATTGTTTATAAATTAATAATTAAAATACACAGGATATGCTAACATTTAGCTTTTCTATTCTTTCCTTTTAGAAGTTAAAGACTCCAGGAAGAAATGTCCATTATTTTGCCGTACACTTGCTAAAACTTTCTTGATCTGGAATTGTTCTCCTTGTTGGTTAAAATTGAAAGAGTTTGTCCATATGATTATAATGGACCCATTTACTGATCTTGTCATCATCGTTTGTATAATTTTAAACATTATATTTTTGGCGTTGGAACATTATCCAATGACTGTAGAAATTAGCACTCTTCTCAGCATCGGAAACCTGGTAAAATTCCCTCTCATTATTTTCATTTGCTATTTCAACTTTTCTTTAGTTATCTTTATCCTTGTGATTTTATAGCTTGAATATGTTAAAAATATATTCTATTAGAATTGAATGAAATATTAGGATAGGATTAGGATTGAATGAAGTGTTCTTGCTCCCCACCCCTACTTTTTTAAATGTATAGTTTTACAGCTGGACTTGAAATTCTGCCATTTAAAGGCTAAGTGGAAATTATGGTAAACTGGTGAAAACTGGAACCTGCAGTAAGGCGAAAACCTTTCAGTGTTTGAAAACTCAAATATTTTCCACTAAAAGAAAGGATAGAAAAGTGGTAAGATTGTACCCTGTCAAGGCAGAAAACTTTGACCTGGAAGACAAGACAGTCTCTTTGAGTTCCAGCTTTCACCGGTTTCATTATACACCCTGTATTTACTTATCAGCTGTCTTGTATTCTGACATTTCACATTTATAACAATAGTATAACATCTACTATCCAGCTCTTGTACATCAATGATGCACATCTGGTGATAATGAATGCCAAGGTGCAACTTGAGAGTAACACTGTGATGATTTATGGTTCTGTGTCAACTTGGTTAGGCCATGATTCTCAGTGGTAGGCAATTCTGTAATGATGCAATTTTGCAATTATGTACTGATGTAATTTGACAGTTTATATAATTATTAGATATCCTCCAATTTAGAATGACATAAATTTTCAATGAATACCCTGGTATTTGGAACCTAACCATTGTCAGTAAGTGAGGAGAAGGTGTACTTTTTTGCCCACTCCCTTATAAAAAAAAATACTCTCTTGATACTGTAGCTTCACAGGTCAAAGTGGGGCAGAGGTGACATAACAAGCACATGTTTTCCACTGAAACTGGGTTCTGGAAAACACCAGCCACTAACTTCCCACCATGCCTATTTGGTTTTATCTAAATATCTTTGAGATTTAGCTATCCATTATTTATATATAATGCAAAAGAGAAAAGTAGATTTCTGTGAGTTTAAAAGCAAGCCACATACAAGCAAATGTATCCTGATCAAATTCCTTTGATTTTATTGTCATTGTTGTTGGTGCTAATGCAAACAGTCAACACTAATGCCAGTTTTGAATGATGTATTTACTTGATAATAAAACAGTAATTTAGTTATCTCTTCCAGGTTTTCCAAAAAATAGGTTTATTCTTTTTTTAATCTGAATTGTATATATACTGTTTTTATTCTCTCACATGTTAAAAAATTACGTAGCTTTAACACATATTCCATGTCTCAAAAAGGAACTATTCAAACTGGAAGGATTTTCACCTTAACAAAAACATTCATTTGCTTTCTACCAGAATGGCTTTTAATTACAGTAATTAGAAATTCAGTATACAGTGTTTCACATTAGATTGTTCAATATAATATATGAATATGTCCTTCAAGTCCAAATCCTTGGCAACAGATCAATGAAAAAATTTGTCAGTGAAGAGTTACTTTCTCAACACTGGGGCTGTGATGAATCTATTGGAATCATTTTTTCACTTGTGTGTTTTGTTTTCATGTAGGTTTTTATTGGAATTTTCACAGCAGAAATGATTTTTAAAATAATTGCCATGCATCCTTCTGGGTATTTCAAAGTAAGCTGGAACATATTTGATAGCCTAATTGTGTTCTTTGGGTTAACTGACATTTTTCTCATGGATAATAAAGGATTGTCTATTTTTCACTCACTCAAAGTGGTAAGTAGTACCTGAGACCTACTATTACAATATATTTCAGTTTCCTCAGACAAAGTGGGAATAATAGTAAAACCTATCATATTGGGATATTGGGATGATTAAATGAATTAATTCAAATATCAAGCTTATAAAGCACACCAGGAAAGAGTTAACAGTTGGTGGTATTTGATCAACACCTTAAAAGAAGTAAGTCCATATAAAAACAAATTTGAAATGGTGTTAACATTATTGAACATATTTTCATAGGCAGGATAATGCAGCATGTCAGACACTGAAGACCAATAAGTGACTAAGAAACTGGAATGTGTAAGCCTTTCTAAGTAAAGGGTAGAAAACTTTATAAAGGAGGACAGCAACAGGTTTAGTCAGACATAAGAATGTAAATGATTATTAGAATAATTAGGCCAGAAGCAATGTATGATGTTGGCAAGAATCAGAAAACTAGAAGAAGTAATAATGGTATTGGAATAATAGGTAAAATGGTAAGCCTTTGATAGATTGCTACACTCTGGTTACAAGTTGAAGGAATGTAACAAGATGCAAATACAATGAAGTATTGTATTATTATTATTATTATAATCTTATTCTAATGATTACTCCCTGGGGCTTGTTGTTGTTGTTAGATGCCATTGAGTCAGTACCAACTCATAGCAACCCTATGCACAACAGAATGAAACACTGCCTGATCCTGGGCCAACCTCACAATTATTACCACGCTTGAGTCCATCGATGCTGCCACTTTGCCAATCCATCTCGCTGGGGGGTCTTCCTCTTTTTCTCTGATCCTCCACCTCACCAAACATGATATCCTTCTCCATCGACTTGTCCCTCCTGACAATATGCCCAAAGTACTCATACTTTGGACCCTGGAACTACAGGGGGTGAATTCTTGAGCACTCTAACTGAAGCCTTCATTCATAAATTTTCTAGAGAATACAAGAAATGTACACAGAATGTAATCATCAAATGTATGGATGGAATAAGCCTTGTGAATACCAAAAATGTGATAAATGATAGTATCAAAATGTCTAAAACATTAGCAAATCTAAGATGATTATGTTTTATACATGGATAAATGTAAAGTCTTACTTTTAGGTCCAGAATGCCAACTACATATTAAAAAGCCTTGGGACAGTTTTTCTACATATAAAGATGAAGTATACAGCATGGTCGCTATGAGTTAGAACTGACTTGATGACACTTAACAATAACAATAATCAATATCCATATCTATATATAAGCATATATAGATATTGGTAGATGTTGTGTTGATATTAAGTGCCTTTGAGTCAGTTTCAATCCATAGCAACTCTGCATAAGGTTTCCAAGGAGCATCTAGTAAACAATAGATCGACTGACAGATAGAAATGATATAAAATCAAGAACACATCTATGGATTTTATATATCTATGGAGTCCTGGTATAGGGCTGTAGGGTAAGCAATGGACTGCTAACCACAAGGTTGATGGTTCAAATCCATCAGCTGCTCCTCTGAAACTCTATACTGAGTCATTATGTGTTGTAACTAACTTGATGACACTTAACAACAACAGGTCAACATAAAAACTCATCTGTCAGTTTGAAATACTATGGTGGCTTGCATGTTGCTGTGATGCTATAAGCCATATATGCCAACAGTATGTCAAATACTAGCAATCATCCTTGGTGGACAGGTTCATTGGAGCTTCCAAATTAAAACTAGGAAGGACTAGGTAACCCACTTCTGAAGGATTAACCAATTAAACATTATATATATATAACAGTGACACATTGTCTGATATAGAAGATGAACCCCTAATGTTGGAAGGGAATGAAAATACAACCAGGGAAGTGCTGCCTTCTCCAAGTAGAACTGACCCTTAATGATGTGCATGGAGCAGAGCTTTCAGGAACTTCCTTTACTGATGGGCCACAACTCAAAATTAGAAGAAACAGCTGCAAACATCCATTAATAATCAAAGTGTGGAATATAGAAGGTATGAATGTAGGTAAATTGGAAGTGGTTAAAAATTAAATTGAGCACATGAAGATCTGTTTCCTAGACATTGCTGTTGTAAAGTGCCATCATGTCAGTTCTGACTCATAGTGACCCTGTATAGAATTTAGGAAGGTAGGTTTTAACTGCTAACATGTGGTGATCAATCTAATGTATGAGAGTTTATTGAAATATTTCAATAAACTGATGCAATGCTGGAAGCATTCATTAGTCTATGCCAAGAAATTTGGGAGACAGCTACCTAATCAACTGACTCGAAGAGATTAATATTTGTGCCAATTCTAAAGAAACATGACCCAACAGAATGAACAAATTATTGAACATACCATTCATATCACATGCAAGAAAAATTCTGCTAAAGATAATTTTTAAATACTTGCAGCAGTAGTAGGGATCTTCCAGAAATTCAAGTTGGATTCAGAAAGGACGTGCCACAAGGGATATCATTGCTGACATCAGGTGGATTTTGGTTAAAAGCAGATAATACCAGAAAGATGTATACTTGTATTTCAATGACTATGTAAAGACATTTTATTAAAAAAATATGGATAACATTGCAAATAATAGTAATTACAGAACTGTGGATACCATTGCAAGGGATAGGAATTACTTGTGTTCATGAGGGAATTATACATGGACCAAGAGGCAGTTGTTAGAACAGAAAAAGGGAAAATCAGGTGGAGCAAAGTTATGGAAACTTCTTAGACATGACCAATCACCTTGAAGGATGAATTTTTGGAACTCGAGACTCACAACTGTAGTCTCTGGGCTACATCATGGTTGACTGGTATAACATAGCCCACAAAGTGGTCAATAGCAATGTGATCTTATAAGCTTCTGAGCAGCAATCTAAGGTGTAACTATTGGTCTCTCCTGATGGTCTGCTCAGTAAACCATCATCCAAAATTTAAAAATAATATAAAATCAGGAAAGGTATACATCATAGCATTCAGTTTATATGCTGAAAAAATAATCAAAATGTTTATGAATTGTTGAATGGAAAATAAATTTGCTCTGTAAACTTTCACCCAAAATTGCAATAAAAAAAATTTTTTTTAAACAAAGGATAATTTAAACTATTTAAAAGTGCACAATTTGGTGACATTAATCACATTCACAATATTGTGCTACCATTTTTGTTGTTGTAAGTGCCTTCGAGTCGGTTCCAACTCATAGCAACCCATCTAGGGTTTCCAAGGATCAGTAGTGAGTTTTAACCATTAACCTTGTCATTCAAACTTACCTTATGGTTGAGTGTTTGTCCTACAATGCCACACAAGGCCTCATTATCACTATCTATTTCCAGAAGTTTTACATCACTCCAAACAGTAACTCAGAACCCCTTTAGCTATAACTCCTATTGCCTCTTCCTTCCTGTCCCTGTCCCTGTCATTATTGTTAAGTGCAGTTGAGTCAGTTCCTGGTAACTACTAATAAATTTTTATCTTCATACATTTGACTAATCTAGCTATTTTACAGGCCACCACTAATCTGACAGTTTGTCATACTGTGGAGACTTGCATGTTGCTGTGATGTTGGAAGCTATGCCACTAGTATTTGAAATATTAGCAGGTGATCAGTGGAGCTTCCAAACTAAGACAGACTAGGAAGAAGGAGAGGGAGACTACTTCTGGATAGTTAGCCACTGAAAATCTTATGACTATCAGCAGAATGTTGTCAGATATAGTGGCAGAAGATGAGCCCCTCAGGTTGGAAGGCACAAAAAATGACTGAAGAAGAGCTGCTTCCTCAAAGTAGAATTGACCATAATGGCATGAGTGAGTGAAGTTTTGGAAACCTTCATTTGCTGAAGAAGCACAACTTAAAATGAGGAGAACAGCTGCAAACATCCATTAGTAATAGGAACATGGAATGTATGAAATATGAATCTAGACAAACTGGAAGTTGTCAAAAATGGGATGGAACACATAAAGATCCATATCCTAGGCATTGTTGTTGTTTTTTTGAGTCATCTAGTCAGTTTCAACTCAAAGTGACCCTGTATAGTATTTCTGAGGAGCAGCTGGTGAGCTTGAACCACTGACCTTGTGGTTCAAATAGACCATGCAGTCCAGTGCTTATCATACAATGCCACACCAGGACTGATATTAGCCATTTTGAATTATACAGTCATATTGTTTACTACCAGCCGCTCCGCGGGAGAAAGATGAGGCTTTCTACTCCCGTAAAGATTTACACCCTCGGAAACCCTGTACAGGGTCGCTATGGGTCGGACCCGACTCGATGGCACTTAACAACAACAACAACAATTGTTTACTGTGCCAGGAAAGACACATTCAAGAAAGAAGGCATTGCTTTCATAGTCAAAAAGAACATTTCAAGATCTATCCTGAAGTACAATCCTGTCGGTGACAGAATAATATCCATATGCCTACAAGGAAGTCCAGTTAATACCACTAATATTCAAATGTATGCACCAGCAACTAAAGCCAATGATGATGAAGTTAAAGAATTCTATCAACATCCTGGTGTATTGTAGGATAAACACTGGACTGCTAACCACGAGGTTGGTAGATGAAACCCACCAGCCACTCCTTGGAAAATGCTCCATAGCATCACTATGAGTTAGAACCAACTTGGCAGCATTTAACAACAACTACAACCAACATCTTCAGTCTGAAGCTGATCAAACATGTAATCAAGATGCATTGATCACTGATCATGATTGGGATGCAAAAATTGAAAGAAATATGGCCTTGGTGATAGAAATGATGCTGAGATCCCACGGTAGATTTTTGCATGACTAATTATTCTTTGCAAATGCCTTTTCTAAACAACAGAGGAGACAGTTATAAACGTGGAATAATTCAGTGGAATACAGAGGAAACAAATTGACTACATCTGTGGGAAAATATGGTGGGAAAGTTCAATATTATCAGACAAAACAAGGCCAGAGGCAGACTGTAGAAAAGAAAACTTGCTCATAGGCAAGTTCAGACTGAAGCTGTAAAAAAATTAAAACAAGTCTACAAGAGGCTAATCTGTTCTTGAGATAGTCTCTAAATGCAGGTGGAATATGTTCAAACATAGAGAAGCTAAAGCAAATGGAAGAAATGAGGAAGCAAAATATTTAACCAGAAAATTTCAAGGAGACAAAGTACTATAATGAAATGTGTAAAGACCTGGAGTTTCAAAACCAAAAGGGAAGAACACATACAGCATTTCTCAAGTTGAAAGAGCTAAAGAAAAAAATCAGGTCTTGACTTACAATATTGAAGAATTCCAATGGAAAAATATTAAATGATGCAGAAAGCATCAAAAGAAAATGAAGGAATACGCTGAATCACTGTTCCAAAAAGAAATGGTTGATATTCCACTATTTCAAGAACCAGTTACTTTTTTTGTAAATACTGGTGGTACTGAAGGAGAACTTAAGCAGCACTGAAGGCACCAACAAAAAACAAGGCTCCAGGAATTGACAGAATGCAGATGGCAATCGTTTAACAAACTGATGCAGCTGAAAGAGCTCACTTCTCTTTCCCATGAAATTTGGAAGTTAGCTACCTGGTCAACCGATTGGAAAAGATCCATATATGTGCCCATTTCAAAGAAAGGTGACCGAACAGAATGCAGAAATAATCAAACAATACCATTAATATCACATACAAGTAAAAGTTTCTTTAAGAAAATTCAAAAATGTTTGCAACAGTACATAGACAGGAAACTGTCATCCATCCAAGCTGGATTCAGAATAGGACATGGAATTAGGACATGCTGATGTCGAATGGCTCTTACCTGAAAGCAGAAAATATCAGAAAGGTGATTGCTTGTGCTTCACAGACCGTTTGAAGACTTTCTGTCACAGGGACCATAACAGACTATGGATAACAATACAAAAAATGTGTATTCCAGAACACTTCATTATGCTCAGGAGGAACCTGTACATCAGTTGCTGGAACAGAACAACAGATACTGAAAGGTTTAAAATCAGATAAGATTACATTCTTTCACTATACATATTCAATCTATATGCTGAGAAAATCTGAGAAACAGGATTATATGAAGAAGAACAAGCATCAGGATTGGATATGACTCATTAACAACCTGGGATATGCAGATGACACAACTTTGCCTACTGAAAGTGAAGAGGACTTAAAATGCTTATTGATGAAGATCAAAGAGCAGTGTTCGATATGAATTGCACCTCAGTGTAAAGAAAACAAACATACAATTGGGCCAATAAATATGATGAATGGAGAAAAGGTCAAATTGTCAAAGACTTCATTTTTCTTGGATTCACAATCAATACTCATGGAAGCAGTAGTCAATAAATCAAATGACATGTTACATTGTGCAAACCTGCTGCAAAAAAAGTTTCTTTAATGTGTTCAAGAGCAAAGATAATGGTTTGAGGACTAAGGTGTGCCTGACCCAAGCCACGGCATTTTCAATTGCCTCTGGTGCATGTGAAAGTTAGACATTGAATAAGGAAGGGGATGGAAGATGCAATTGAAATATGGCATTGGAGAAGAATTTTAAAAGTCCCATGTACTAGAAGAATAACAAACAAATCTGTCTAGGAAAAAGTACAGCCAAAATGCTCCTTAGAAGCCAGGATGGTGAGACTTTGTCTCTTATACTTCTGACATGTTATTAGCAATGACCAGTTCCTGCAGAAGGATAAGCACATCATGCTTGTTAAAGTGGAGGTCCAATGAAAAAGTGGAAGATCCCCACAAAGGAGGTGGATTGATACAGTGGCTGCAACAATAGGCTAATCATAACAATTGTGAGGATGGCACAGGACTGGGCAGTGTTTCATTCTGTTGTCCATAGGGTCACTGAGTCTGAACTGACTCAACGGCACCTAAGTAACAACAACAGTTTAACAACAAAATGACAGGCAACCAAATAAAGAACTGTGCAAAGATCTTGACTAGATGCTTCTCCAAACAAGTTATATAAATGACCATACATAAGTACATGAAAAATTGCTCATTGCTTTTAGTCATTTGTTGATTTTGTTGTTAAGTGCCATCAAGTTGGTTACAACTCATAGTAGCCTGTATAGGGTTTCTGAGGCTGTAAATCTTTGTAGGAGCAGAAAGCCACAACTTTCACTTTCAGAGCAACTGGTAGGCTCGAACCGTATTTAGCAGCCCATTTCTTATCCTATAGAGCCACCACACTCTCCATTTAGTCATTGTTGTTGTTAAATGGTGTTGAGTCAGTGCCAACTCATGGCAACCCAGATAGGGTTTCCAAGGAGCCATTGGCTTGTTTGAACTGCCATCCTTTCAGTTCAAATCAACCTTGTGGTCCAGTGCTTATCCTACAGTGCTGCATCAGAATTCCATCTAGTCATTGTTGTTAAGTGCCATCAAGCTGGTTCCAACTCATGGCAATCCTGCATAGGGTTTTCAAGGAGTGGCTGGTGAATTTGAACCACTGACCTTGTGGTTCAAATCAACCTTGATGTCCAGTGCTTTATCCCACAGCACTATACCAAACTCCATTTATTCATTGGGTAAGTGTAATTCCAAAACACAAGGAGATAAACTGTCAAGACTGTGTAAGCCTTATGCATTGCTGATGTAAAAGATATGTAAAATGACACACAGGCGATTCCTCAAAATGTTAAACAAATAATCACCATATGACCCAGCAATTCCATTTTTAGAACTATATCCAAGAAGCTTGAAAGCAGGGACTCAAATACATACAGGCAGCTGAATTCAAAATTGTCAAAAATTAGAAATAAGTGTCTATCAACAGATACATGTAGAAACAAAACGTGGTATAACTGTAAATGGAATATTATTCAACTAATACAGAAATGAAAAAAAGATTTAAAGAAAAATGAAATTCTGATACATGCACATAAGTATAGATAAATCTTGAATACATTCTACTGAAAGAAATAAATCAGATGCAATGGAACAAACGTTGCATCAGCCTGTGTGTGTGTGTGTGTGTGTGTGTGTGTGTGTGCGTGTGAATTATCTAGATTAGGCAAATGCATAAATATAAAAATTTATTATATCAGGGACAGAAAGGATGAAGTAATGTGAATTATTGCAAAGGGGTTCTGAGTTTCTGTTTGGGATGATGTCAAACTTCTGGAAATAGATAATGGTAATGGTAGCACAATATGGTGAATGTGATTAATGTCACTGAATTTTTCACTTTAGAATAAAGTGACCAACTTGTTTTTAACCACTGCCTCTCTGATTTTCCTGTTTCTATTTGTCCTTCATTCCTATCCCTTCTTATCTTCTGAGTTTTATTCTTGGGCAAAAGCTGCCCTTTTGATCTTCAATGGTTGTTTGTTCTAAGAACCTAGTACCTGTTCCTAGTGTTATTGTTCATCATATAAGCCTGAAAGTTGAGTCAAAGGAATGAGTTCAGTTTCAGATCTGAAGGGTGATTACGGGTCTCAGGTTCAGGAGTTCCACATTTTTCTCTTACTCTGTCCAGGACCTCCTATTTTGTTCCCATTCAGAGTGGTCTGCAGTGGTAACCAGGTGCTATCTAGATCTTTTGGTCTCAGGTTCTTGGAGGCTGGGGTTTACATGATCCTTTAGTCCTTTGGACTGTTTGTTACCATGTGCATTTGATTTTCTTCATTCTTCTTTACTCCAGATAAGGAAAGACCAATAATTGGATGGCCTTAGGTGGCCACTCAGGGTCATTTAAGACCCTAGTCTCTACTCACCAAAGAGGATTAAGAGCACTGTCTTTGTGGATAATGTCAATAGACCCTGGTATCCCAAGACTGCTCCTGAGCCCCCAGGCTAGCTACTCATTCCCTCAAGGTGTTTGGTTATGGCTTAGAAATTTTTATATCTTTGCCCTCTGTATTCTCTAGTATATCCATGAAAATATTTACAGCAATTGTAAGTACATACATAGAAATATCATGTCAAATCTATATATTTATGAATGTAGTCTCACTCAGAAAATGGCAAAATTTTTGTGATATATATTTCATCAAAATAGTTTTTTTAAAGAGATGAATTCAATAGGACTGTTGGTGAAATTCTGAAAGATTATTTTTCATTATTATCTGGATGTGAAAATCAGGAAAGAAAGACAACATAATAAAAAAAGCACAGAGTGGATAGTTGCCCTTACCAGACCTCTAAATGTAAAAGAAAACTAGAATAAATAAAATAGTATATTGGAATTGAGATTGATAAAGAGATAAATAGAAAATAATATATATTAATTTAGTGTATACAATTATAGAATATGATTTATTGTGCATTACCCATAAAATGAGAATCCAGCGGCTGTATTAATGTTTAACATTGAATAATAAAGGCCAAACGTGTGTGTATTGTTGATAAAATTTTAAATATACTTCATACTAAATACTAACTTTGTATCTTGTTTTTTTAACTTGCTTTCTTAGCTTCGAATTTTCAAGCTGGTGAAATACTGGCCAACATTTACAAATCTAATGCGGACTCTCGGTAACTCATTGGTGGCCCTGAAAAACTTAATCCTGTTATTATTCATGTTCACCTTCTTATGTGCTGTGCTTGGGCTGAAGATCTTTGGTTCGAGCTATGAACACTGTGTTTGCAACATAGACAAAGATTGTCAACTCCCACACTGGCACATGCATGACTTTTTCCACTCCTACATGAATGTGTTCCGGATTCTCTGTGGAGAATGGATAGAGACCTTATGGGACTGCTTGGAGGTGGCAAGTCGAATTACATGTATTCCTTTTTACATTATGGTCATTTTAATTGGAAACTTACTGGTAAGTAATTAATAGCTTCACATTCTCCTTGTGATAAAGTTATATGGTCTGTCTCTTTCATGATATGGATTGATAGGACTCAATGATAGGTCTATAACTGTGCTATTCAATATGATGACCACTAGCCACATGTCGCTATTGATCATTTGAAATACAATCAGTGGTTCAAATGGAAATCTCTCTAAATGTTACATACCCAAGATGTGAAGACTTAATCCCCCCAAATGTAATTTATGTCATTAATAACTATTATGTTGAATGAATTTTAAGTATTATTTTGCATAAATTGGTTTAATACAGTTAAAATAATTTTACTTTTTTACTTTTTATAAACAGAAGTGGAAAACTTTTTGTGTTATTTGAATCCTATTTTTATTGGATAGTACTGGTTCCTAACTTTGTTACTCAAAGCAGCATTGTCATCACATGGGCACTCGGTAGAAATGCAGACTCTCAAACCCTAGACTCTCAGACCTATGCAAGCAGAATCTACATTTTAGCAATATCCCCAGGTAATATGTACACACATTAAATTTTAAGACAAACTTAAATATGGGATTCTCCAAATTTAGATGTATATTGGGATTACCTAGGGAATTAATAAAAATATACTAATGCTTTGGACCCATTCCCAGAGATTCTATTTTTAAGAGTTGTGGATATGACTTGGGCATCAGATTTGTTTAAAATTTTCAGTTGATTATTGTTCAGAAAATTTTGAAAACCACTGATTCATAAAACTGTTATGTATTAAAAGAGAAAGCTTTCTCTGTTAAATTTCCTAATAATTGACATGATGCTACATTGATTGAGCTTTCATTTATTATGAGAAATAGATATAGCTTATGAAAGAAAAATTTTCTTGCAGAAACCCCCCCCCACAATATTTGCTGTTAGCTCAAAAATCATAGACATCAAGGATATGTCCCAAGAGATTGATGAAAATCACTGGTTAGACCCAATTGTATCTGTGATCTTCTTCAATGCTGCTGCATCATCTGGTCACACCTCTGCCAGATACTTATAACATTGGCATCGTATTCAATTTTTTCATTGCTTATATGTCTTCTTTATTAAACTGTAGCCTCCATGAGAAGAAGAACTATTAATCTTCTCTATAGCATTAAATCCAGTAACATTGCCCGAATTGGGAAAAATAGTTCAATAAATCCAATTCAAATTAATGGGAAAAGTATATCACTGCTTTTGTAGTTATTAGAATTCTTTCACCTCCGAATGAGTTAAAACCCTGTTCAAACTGGTTGAAATGAAAATGAGAACATAACTCAAAATATCACAACTAAATCTCACTATTGTTGTGGTGAACCAGAGGTTCAAATGAGGTTATTAGAGCCAGTTTTTGTTGTTGTTGTTATTTATTTTATTTTTTTAAATCTCAACTCTGCCTTTCTCTATGCTCCTTGTTGGCTGTTATTCAGATGGGTGCTGTAATCTAAAGCTTCATATTACATAAAATCCAATTAAAGACAGCATTTCTTCTCCAGAAGCAATACCAAACTTCTATTTCATTAGTTCTAATTTTGTTGCATGTGCATTTCTGAATCAATCTCTAGAGCCCAGAATATGGAATCATTGATTACGTTACGCCACTCAGAACTCTCCCATGGAGCTAGAGATGGAATCAATCGAAATCCAAATAATGTAACTGAAAATGAGGAAGAAGTGATATTTCCCAATTAAAATGCATGTTTTTATTCATAGAAGTAAGGGCCATGAGAGAAACAATACATACATTTCTTAAATTTAGTTTTGTGTTGCTCCTGGCAATAAAATTTTAACAATGATTCTCAGTCTTAAGCCAAAAATATTGATAAATATCATATGCAATAACAAGTCATTTATAAAATAATGTTTAAATAATTCCACGCAGTGTTGATTTGAAAAAAAAAAAAAAAAACAGTTATAAAAGATGCTTTAACCTGAGTGCTTGGAGATCTTTGTATACTTATTTTATGTACATGTAAACAGTAAGTATACTTATTTCTTAAAAGAAGATTTCAATATATCCAAAGAACAGGCAGAAAAATAGGTTAGTTGTATATATGTATGCATATTAATTTACTACCTGCCAGTCAGTTATGACTCATGGTGACCCTTTATTGAGGGTTTCAAAATTGTAAATCTTTGTGGCAATAAACACCCTCATCTTTCTCCTGTAGAGCAGTTGATAGGTTTGAACCACTGACCTTTCAGTTAGCAGCCCAGTACTTAATCTGCTGTACCACCAGAACTCCTAAATATTTATACACACATATATACTTGTAAACATAATATACATTTATATGGAGTCCTGGTTTTGCTCTGTGGATTAATGTGCTAGACTGCAAAGTTAGTTTGAACCATAAGCTCGGTGGTTCAAGTTTATCAGCTGCTCCTTGGAAATCTTATACAGGGTTGGTATTGGTCAGAACCTACTCAAAGGTTAAGACCACAACACCAAATACATTTATATATGTTTATAAATATGTATAACATTTGAACTTTCCCTTTTACTGATAATGTGTAGGAAGTATGGTGACTCCATACTATAAGCACTGGGCTGCAAACCACAAGGTCAGCAGTTCGAGCCCACCAGCTACTCTGTGAGAAAAAGATAAGGCTTTCTTTAGCTCCTTTGAACAGCCTTAGATACCGTATACAGGGTAAAGCCTTAGATACCATATACAGGGTCGCTATGAGTCGGATTTGACTCAACAGCACTTTAAAACAACAAAAATAATATACAAAATATAAAGTAGATGGAATATTCAAAAGCTCAAATATATGAAGAGATTGAGTATGAGGGGGCTCCAAAATGTTCATGAAAAAATTCCAATATATTTTCATTCCATTTTTTCCCCATGAAATTCCCTCAAGAAAATTGCCACCAAAGATGCAAAGGTTAAATTAATGCTTTGTCTAAGAACATGACTGTTATGAATCTGTAACATAAGAATCCAAAAATACAATATATGCCCTATAATTACAAACAGGAGTCCTGGTGTTGTGCAGTAGGGTACGTCCTGGATTGCAATGTCAGTTTGAAACTCAAGGTTGGCGACTCAAACTCACCAGTTGCTTCTGAAAAACCATACATATGGTTGCTTTGAGTCAGAACTGACTTGATGGCTCTTAAAACAACAAAAACAATTACTAGATTAAAATTTCTCTAGAAACTGCTTATCTTATTTTTCAACAATAGTAAAGATAATGTGGACTATTCATAGGTTCACAACAGCTTTTCAAATATTAGGAGTGATTCTTTTATTATCTCAGATTTATTATAACAGAGACTGAACTAACTTATCCCAGCAACTGTGCTTGACTGTCTCAGGAGCCATTAGATGTGGGCTTTAAGAACAAGGATAGTTCTCACATAGTGAGGTGAGAATCGTTCTGAATCTTATGTAAATAGAGCTAATGTGAAATTCTATAGAGTAAGAATTTTCTCAATGTTGGCAAAGGCAGCTTCCCTCAGTGAAAGAAAATGAGCCTTTGAATACAACAGACTGTGTTCAAACCTTGTGTGATTTTTGACCTTTGACATCAGTAAGCCTTGTCTTTTTCTTCTGTAAAATTTGAAGCTATAATATTCCTTTGACTGTTGTAAGCATAAATAAGACCTGGTTACACAAAATCCTAGTACATTATCTGTTATGTTGTGGATAAGAACCAAGTACCATTATACTTATTCATGTTCACAGGTTCACTTTTCAAGCCTTAGGACAGCAGTATTTAAGTTTTATATTGTATTTTTAAAAAGATGTAATTAGCCTCCTTTTCCTTCCTTTGGCAGATATTATACCTGTTTGTGGCTTTGGTGAGCTCATTTAGTTCATACAACTGTACAACAGTTGAAGAAACTTATGAAGCAAAAAATGTCCAGCATGCAGTGGGAAGGATTAAAAGAGGAGTACATTATGTACTTTTTAAAATATTATGCAGAAAACAAAATGCTGCAAAGGAGACCAGGGGAAATGTGAATGATATATATGTTAAAGAGACTATTTCTGACAATACCCTGTCTGAATTCAGCAACATCCAAGATTTCCTCAAGGACAAGGAAAAGAGCAGCGGCACAGGGAAAAACACAATGACTGAAAATGAGAATCAGACACTTATTCCCAGCCCTAGTGTCTCAGAAACTGTACCAATTGCTTCAGAAGAATCTGATATAGAAAATCTGGATAACAAGGAAATTCGGAGCAAGTCTGGTGATGGAAGCAGCAAAGAGGTAACATGTCTAACTATCCTGATGACTTAGTGTTGATTGATGGCATCATATATGAAGAAGTGAATCAATACTGACGTTTCAGTCAGAATATTCATTTAATCCTTTCCCCATCACTCTTGATTGTTGATTGTTCGACACTGAACTAACTACTTAGTCTCTGGAAGCTTCCGTTTTCTCATATGTAATGATGATAGAAGTTGTTGTGAAGTACCATCGAGTCGGTTCCGACCCATAGCTACCCTGTACAGGGTTTCCAAGGGTGTAAATCTTTACGGGAGTAGAAAGCCTCATCTTTCTCCCGCGGAGCGGCTGGTAGTTTCAAACTGCTGACCTTAAGGTTCGCAGCCCGATTCGTAACCACTACACTACCAGAGCTCCTTGATGATAGAAATAGTACCTACTTTTTAGGGACTCCTGGTGTGGTGCTGTGGGTTAATGTGCTGGACTGCAAAGTTGTTTGCACCTTAAGGTCAGAGGTTTGAGTTCACCAGCCACTCTTCAGAAACCTTATACTGGGTAGCTGTGGTTGGAACTGACTCGACAGCACTCAACAACAACTTCTTAGGGTATGTAAAAATGACATAGAGGTGGCATTTAACCTCTTCTGACTTCACAAGGGGCAAGGGAAAGAATCACCATAAGCTCTTGGTCGATTCCTATTGGGAATGCCTTCACCCTCCAACCTTCTTTGCCCTATTCTGATACCAGCTGTCCCCCAACAGCACTCTGTACTTCTCAGCTGGGTTAGATCATTCATTGCAATGGCCAGACAGAACTTACAGACAATAATCACAATTATGGGGTTCATTAGAGAAGTTATTATTGTTATTGTTAAGTGCTGTCAAGTAGGTACCGACCCACGGCGACCCCGTGTAGGGTTTCCAAAGAGTAGTTGGTGAGCCTGAACTGCCGACCTTGCAGTTCAAACCAACTTTTTAGTCCAGCACATTAAATCACAGTGCCACACCAGGACGCCATTTGAGAAGTTAACAGGTTACAATTCAGGATCAGAAACGCTGAAGATGCTGTTCTTCCGGTCAGGAGAGCCTCTTCTCATCCTTATTTCTCTCTGGTCCTGGGTGTCTCAGCCACTAAGTCCTTTGGCCTCTGCCCTGCTCAGGAAATTTTACAAAATTCTTTTAACACTACCAATAAATACCTAAAGGGCACATTGCCCAGCTGTAAGCCCAAAATGTTCAGTTCTAGCTCTATACGCCAGCAAACCTAGCCCCCCAATTAAGGCACTGGAGGCACCCCACTCAGCTAACAACGCTCCTACCTGAAGGCACTAAGACCGACTCACTGCTTGGACTGGGAAACCTACCACTCTGTCCTGTACTCTTCATTCTGCTGTCTCTGCAGCCATCACTTTTCTGGTGTCACGGCTCTGTCTCCTAGAGCGAGGATATGGTTTCACCCCATCTCTTATTTCTTGATGGTAGCGAGATTTCCCTCTACTGCTGCTGAGATGGCTCATTTTATATCCATCAGGATAGCAAAACTGACCAATCCCCACATTAGAGTTCCAAGTTTTTACAATCACAACAAATCTGTTAACAGTCACTAACAACTGAATCATAAAATCCTCATAACATCTTCCCCCACCTTTTCTTACCTAGACCCATCAGAAAAAAAGTCATATAGTTGGAGATACAAAAACTATGACTACAAGAGTCAAATTAAATAATTCACTGTGGTGGATAAGAAAATTAAATAAATATTTCAATGGGTGGATAAATGTCTGGTATAAAGTAAACAGTAAACACTAGCTGATATGTAAGGGACTTTTCAAAAAATTATATAAAATTCTATTATTTGTTTATTTCATTTTGCTATGAACATTTTGAAACCAACTCATAAACATAATAATTATATTAATTATAAAGCAGGCAATATGATGTGATGAAAAGCTCACTAAAACTCAAGTTTTCATAATCACCGTGTATGATTGCAAAAATCACTAAATTCCCATGTGCTTTGTAATCTTTAAAATGTAAGTCTAGACTAGAAGAAAGATGAGGCTTTCTGTTCCCACAAAGATTAAAAGCCTTGGAAACCCTCTAGAGGGGCGCTGTGAATAACAACTGACTCAACAGCACTTAACAACAAGAAGTCAGTTCATTCTATAACATATAATCATACTTCATGTGACTAAAAGAATAAAGAAAAACCATTAGTTTGAATTGTGAACAGTTATAGCTTTATTAATCACTGGAGAAGGCATTGGTAGTTCAATGTTAGAATTCTCGCCTCCCACATGAGAGATCCAGGTTCAATTCCCAGCTAGTACACTTCATGAACTTTCTCTTTTGGAAGTCCTGGTGTGGCTCTGTAGTATAAGTTCTGTACCAAAAAGTGGATTTGACCACAAGGTCGGGGGTTCTAACTCACCAGTTGCTCTTCAGAAACCCTATACAGGGTCACTATAAGTTGGAACTGACTTGAAGACACTTAACAACAGCACTAACCACTGAAAGAAGCAAGTCACGGTCACACTCAAAGACAGGTGGATGCTCTATTTCATTTAGATTCCCATGATGGTCTACACTGAAAGCAGCATTGTGTCTTAGAAAGAAATCGATTTTAATAGAAAGCTGCTTCTATAATGATCTATCCTGTCTGTACCATGGACTCCTTTTCTCAGAACACACCAGTCAGTCATCTCACATACCAGGGATTGAAAAGTGGAAGGGAATAAAATATTTATAATATCCTTTTTAAATATTATATTTTACTTGTTGCTAAGTGCCATCAAGTCGGTTCCAACTCATAACAACCCTGTACAGAACTTCCAAGAAGCAACTAGTAGGTTTGAACTGCTGACCTTGAAGTTAGCAGTCTAGTGCTTATCCTACAGTATCACACCAGGATTTGCTTTATTCTAAAGAAATAAGACTGGTTTATAAATATTGAAATGTGTCTTTATCTTATTTTAATTAGAAATTCTGATTTAAATGATATTAACTTTAGGATCTTGGTGATTTTGATGCTTGATACAGTGTATGTTAATTTTAAATAAAGTCAAATTAAGCATTATTAGAAAATCATAAAAAAGCAAAGGGTGTCATTTATATTATCAACATACATACAAGCCAATGTAAAGTTTGGCCTAGGCAGTCTTGAACTTTAGTTGTGAAGAGAATAGAGGGAAAGATGGTGAATCCTAGCTTCATCCAAGGGCCTGACATCACTGTCCTAGATCTATCCATGACTCTATTTTGTGTCATTATTCCATTTCATTTTAGGATAAGTATCAATTTAGCGGTAAGATAACACACAAAAGAAAATCTGAACTGGAATTTAAAAAAACAAAATGTATCATTGTCTACCCATCTTTAACATAGTGGGATGATTTTTTATGTTTTAATGTTTTATTGTGAATTATATGATAGTTTACATGGG